AGTGAGGGGGCCTAGCCCCGAGATGCCCCCATAGCTACGGGCCGGGGGGGCATTGCCCATTTAGGGCCCGTGGAGTCCGTTGCTAGACCTGGTACTGGAGACCGGAGCCAGACTTGCATCCAGGGGCTGGACTGTGTCCAGGGCGAGGGCTCCCGTTTCAAGCTGCTGTACTCTTCAGTTTGCTGTAGTGGTTAAGTGTACAGACTCTAATCTGGGAGAACGGGGTTTGATTCCCCACTCCTCCACATGCAGCTGCTGGTGTGACCTTGGGTCAGTCGCAAGTTCTCTCTGAGCTGTTCTCTCGAGGGCAGTCCTCGAAAGAGCTCTCTCAGCCCCACCTACCTCACAGCCAGTGTCTGTTGTGGGGAGGGGCAGAGAAAGGAGTTTGTGAGCCGCTCTGAGGCTCCGAGAGAAAGGCGGGGTATAAATCCAATCTCCTCCTCCTCCTCCTCCTCCTCCTCTTCTTCTCTTATAATCACCTTTAAGCTGTTCTAGTATGGTATTAGGGTTGCCAACCTCCAGGTGGAGACTGGAGATATCCCACTATTACAACTGATCTTTGGGCGACAGAGATCAGTCACCCCTGGTAGAAATGGCCGCTTCAGAAGGTGGAATCTATTTGTGGCATTATGCCCCATTAAAGTCATTCCCCCCCAAATCCCACCCTCCTCAAGCTCCACCCCCAAAATCTCCAGGTATTTCCCAACCGTGAACTGGCAACTCTATATGGATAGGTCTCTATTTCTGACAGGGGACTTGGGGGGGGGGGATTTGAAACCATGTTTCGGTGGTACAAAGCGTCTTCTCTTTCTGTCTCTCTCTGTCCATCTGTCTGTCTGTCTCTGTCTGTCTCTCTCTCTCTCTGACCGATTTCACACAAGAGCTGTGCCGTGGTCGTGCCTCCCTTTGCCCTGCTCCTGTTGGTCAATTTCCCACTCGAAGCCGCGTGGCCGCATTTTGACCCGCGGCTTCGCCCGATGTTCCCCGCGGTTTCGTGATCCTGTTTTCTGAGGATCACGAAACCGCGGGGAAAATCGGGCGAAGCTGCGGGTCAAAATGCGGCCGCGCGGCTTC